GGACCCACACTGCTCTTGTCTGGTGACAGAGACGCAGGAGGTCCAAGAGACCCTGAGGTGCATGAGCGCCTGGAAAGGTTCCCAGAGCTGGGAAGGCTGCTGTCCCCACATAGGTGACTGCAGAGAGGACAGGGAAGAAAAGCAGCAGCAGGGAAAGGGACAGCAGAGCTCAGGGGGTTGGGCACACCCCCAGCTGTCTGTCACATGTGTCAGGGGCTTCTTGGGTATGCATATATGTGGGTTCTTGGGATAATTTGTTTTTTGCCTGCAATACATAAACTGTTTAATCATGTAAAGGATGTGGAAAACATGCTGTTTTATTTATTTTTTTTTTACTGTTTATTTTGTATTCATTGTAATCATTCACTTGAAAAACAGAATGTAACCATGTTGTGGGATGTCCTGTATGCTGTGAATATATGTTACTATGATTGATTGGTAAGTAAAATGCTGATTGGCCAGTAGCCAGGCAGGAAGGATAGTGTAGGTGGGACAAGCAGAGAGGAGAAGGCTGAGTGGAAGAGGGCTGAGGAGGAGACGCTGCCAGCTGCCACGAGGAGAAGCATGATGTAAAATACCAGTAAGCCATGAGCCCAGCCACGTGGCAACTTATAGATTAATAGAAATGGGTTCATTTAAGATATAAGAACAGATAGCAAGCCAGGCGGTGGTAGCTTGCCTTTGATCCCAGCACTTGGGAGGCAGAGCCAGGCAGATCGCTGAGTTCAAGGCCAGCCTGGTCTACAGAGTGAGATCCAGGACAGGTACCAAAACTACAGGAAAAAACAAACAAACAAACAAAAAGAACAGATAGCAAGAAGCCTGCCACGGCCATACAGTCTCTGTGTGTTTAATTGGGCCTGAGCAGCTACAGGAGCAGGGTGGACACAGGAATACTCCAGTTACATAACCACACTGTAATTTTTTTTTTTTTTTTTTTAAGGTTTTTCGAGACAGGGTTTCTCTGTGTAGCTTTGCGCCTTTTCCTGGAACTCACTTGGTAGTCCAGGCTGGCCTCGAACTCACAGAGATCCGCCTGGCTCTGCCTCCCGAGTGCTGGGATTAAAGGCGTGCGCCACCACCGCCCGGCCACACTGTAATTTTTATATCGCCTGAAAGATTTTCCTGTGGTATATAAGTTGTTTTGTTCTCTTTTCTTTGGTTTTTCGAGACAGGGTTTCTCTGTGTAGTTTTGGCGCCTTTCCTGGAACTCGCTCTGTAGACCAGGCTGACCTTGAACTCACAGAGATCCACCTGCTTCTGCGTGCGCCACCTCCGCCTGGAGGGGTATATAAGTTGTAAGGGAAAAAGTAGAGATAGAGAGTGTTAAAATGGGCTAGAAGGAAAACAACAAGAAAGAGAGAAGGAAATCACCAGGAAAATAAAGAATAGAGAACGCAGAAGAAGAATAAAGAAAAGGTCTGAAGGAAACCAACAAGAGAGTGTATGACTGTTTTTTCTCCTAACCGCTCAGATAGAAAAATCTTAGTACATGCGGACACTGAGCCCTGGGCTGTCTGGAGGTCGGTCCCCCAGGCAGCAATACCAGCCTTACCATTCTGTTTCTCCTGGTGTTGGGAGTTGACCCCAGGCCTTATGCATGCTCAGCCAGCACGCTCCAGCATGGCACACCACAGCTCATCCTCTCCAGTTGCAGAGTACAGCTCAGGGGTATCAAGTCATTCCCACCACCACAATCCCTCCCCAGATCGCTTTATCTGCTAAAACTGAAGCTCTGCACCCCGGGACAGTAGCTCCCCGTCCTCTCCTCTGCCCAGCCCCAGCACCCATCACTCTGGGTTCTATTTCTATGATTTGACGAGTGTAATCATGCGCTGTCTGTCTGTGACTGACTCAAGTCTTCAAGGCTCCTTCATGTTCAGCAGGCATCACACTAGCTCTTTTAAGCTGAACAATCGTCCACTGTACTAATTAACACTGTACGAGTGCTCACCCAGAACTCACTCATCTGTCTCTGGTGTCAATTACAGTAGATAACCGTGGTCCAAAAACATTACCTGGAAAATTCCAGAAATGAGTAATTCTCAGATTTGGAATTGTGTACCGTTCAGAGGAGTCTCCCTAAATCTATAGTATTCTTTCCTTGTCTCACTCATATTGGACACATAAGGGTGTCTTTGCCCATATATGCATGTTTTTAGGGATGTTATAGGGGTCTGTGTTATCAGATCTGTGTCTGCAATGTTGCAGCCTTTATGCTTAAGTAGGAAGGAGATGCTGTCCTAATACCATGCGGTATCACAGTCCTTGTGTTTAAGTAGGAAGGCGATGCTGTCCTAACACTATGCGGTATCACAGTCCTTGTGTTTAAGTAGGAAGGCAATGCTGTCCTAACACTATGTGGTATCACAGTCCTTGTGTTTAAGTAGGAAGGCAATGCTGT